CGGAGAGTGATCTGAGAGAACTTTAATGCTGATAGGGTTGTAAGGACACTTCACACTCCCCGGCTGCCCACGCTGTTGAGGGCGATTTCCTCTTGAGGTACCTGAAGAAGGGTTAATGTGTGACCACATAGCCCAAGGGAGGTTGGTCACACATGGCACTTTTGGAAGTTTGATAGCTTTGTTTGTTTTGCCCCAAGTCTGACTATGAATGCATATTATGGGTACCGGCACGCCGCGAGGTAGGCAGGAGTGTGCTATTTCTAGGGCCTACCTTTTCTAACTCCGCTGCATTAGTTTGGCAATGTTAGTTATCCAAGCGAAACACCTTGATGTTATCACACTTTTGTACAGCCAGCAGTATGACTTCGCCCTCAGATCCCCATCATAGTGTGAAAATATACGCTACATTGGTAACTTCTTTTGTCTTACCACTATCCATCAGGCCTTTCTGGTTTGGTAGAACCTCATCCCGTCAACATAGTTCATTAGTCATTGTGATATGCAAGCTTGACTACCACGTCAAGGTAGCAGCTATCAGTCGGCACCCACTTTTTAGTAAACGGAGAGGGGATCCGACTCATGATCCAATGACTTTCGTCTGACCATGTTAGCTACCTCACCTGCTTAAAGTTCTATGCTTAACCGCACTAGCAGATCACTAATGAAATTTTGATAACTGTAGAAAGTGTGGTCACCATCCAGTAACCTATCACTTTCATAGTCAGGAAAAATTCGCCTACCATTTAAGTATAGGACAATGTCACAAGATAAACACATTCATATCATAAGTTGAAATTCAAATATTAGTATTTGGTCAGCACTACTTTAAAAGCGTTGAATACATCCTATCGAACATCGAAGAAAGTCCATGATTCTGAAGTTAAGCTTAGACTAAATGTTCAAAAGATCTATGAAGTATAAAGTTGAGTACAGTTTTGCTACTAGTCGTCCGTTGTATGATGAGATGCAAGACTAAAAATTATCAGTTATTTAAATAGATACACAGTACTTAATCATGAAGCCAGTGATTGATTGTCAAACATGTTGAATTTCCTTTTTGATATGATGATTTTGTCGACATGTTTTAGCACACCGTTATTTATTCACCATCGGCATGAGATTGAACCTGCAACCCACAAATTTCTCATATGTAAGCACGCCGGCCATTTCATCTTGGTCTATATATATATATATATATATGGGGTATCTGGTAATAATCCTTCCGCAGGTTCACCTACGGAAACCTTGTTACAACTTTTACTTCTAAATGGTCAAATTAGATCGTCTTTTCACCATCAGTTGAGTGGCAAGCCACTTCAATGACACCAGTCCGACAACTTCACTAAACCGTTCAATCGGTCTTATCGACGGGTGGTGTGTACAAAGGGTAGGGGTGTAATCAGCACAGGCTTATGACTTGCACTTACCAGGAATTCCTCGTTCATAGGGAATAATTACAAGCCCCGATCCCAGTCATGATGGTGATGAAACAGTTTGCCCGACCCTCTGGGGCCAGGTTTCTAGACTCACTAGCACCGTCACTGCAGTGCGTGTATATGACCCCGAACATCTAAGAGCGTCATAGACCTGTTATTATTAAATTTCGTGCAACTTAAGTGTGCCACTTGTCCCTTTAAGAAGTAAAAACTGGCACCGTACCCGCCGAAAACGACACCATTCCATAAAGAAGCAGTAGAAGTCGCACCCTGAACAAGTACAGAGGACCAGTCTACTATTTAGTAAACTAAATTTTCGTTCGTTATCAGAATTAACCAGAAAAATCGCTCCACCCAATTAGAACAGTCTGTTATCTTCAAAAACTTATGTGTTTCCTATAACCTGTTTCCCTTGTATTTTTTTAGTGTTTATTTTCACCACAGGTATGTGGTACAAGGTTGTTTGTTGATTGGGTTAGTTGGGTTGAACTGTATATTTTCAGGCTCAAAAAAGAATAGTTCGAGGGGGATCGAGTCAAGATAGGTTACGATCATAAACTTACTCTAACTTCTTATAACATTTCTAGACATCAGAATGTTACAGGGTATAGACAAAAACTAAACAAATTAATTGCTTACTTTGTCTTACAATTTACCGTTTTTCACTTACCTTCTTTGATGTCTATTAGTAATATTATCGGAAAATAACTCATTTGTGGGCAGCCGAGTGAAGGTAAGCAAGTCATCTAGAATCAGTGTTCTCTGTAATGACAAAATATATACATTTAAATGATGATTAGCTTTTCGGAATTAGCGAAGTCAATCTATATACATGTATATATATGTATACTTCATGTATTCGTCAGTGAATTACACTTTTTCTGAGCTAGTTGCGATACCGTCGGACATTCTGAATCCTTATAGGTGAAATATAGTTCATACTAATAATTTACTGATGAAAGGTCGATCACCCAACGAGAGATTATGGCTCGTCTGTAATGAGTGAAATCCAACTCTCTTTATTTCGATTTTTGTAATACATAACACTTTGAATCATATTTTACCTTACTATATAAGTAAAACTCTGTTAGGGATTAATGTAGGTGTGAAACCTGGGCACTGTGGTAGAAAGTAATTTCATATTACATTTGTTTATTTGATTTATAACACAGTGATTTAGTATGATTTACTTGACGATGTTTCGAGCATATAAATTATCATTGCTCATAATCATATCAATGGAATCACATAACTTTCGACATCTGACTTTTATATTCCTATTATCCACCTGATATTCTTTGTGTTTAGTGGTAGTTAAGTTTTCCATGTCTCTGGTATAGGTGTTGCGTCATTTCTATTACATGTGTTGGCTGGGTGTTGATTCAATGAACAAAGATTCAGTAACCAATCTCTCTCTCCACCTAATTATATTGGACCTCAGTACAGTGGCTTTATCCCACCTGTTCTACTGTGTGGTTGTGTGTTAACAATGGCCGAGTTTTTTTCTAGATTATTGATCTTATTTAGGTCTGTTATTCTATATTTAGTTAAATTCCTATGTTCGGCTATTCTAACCGACCCCGACCGGCTAGTTTGACCTATGTACTTGACCTCACAGTCATTATATGGAATTTGATAGATTAGATTATTTTACTTAATTGATTCTATCGGATCCTTAAGCCGACAAAGTTTATCTCTGAGTGAGTTTGTAGGTAGGCTTAAATGCCACCCTAATTCCAGCTCTGTTGAGGATTCTACGTAAAGTTTCTGAGGTAACCTCCTTATAGGGTTACACAATGGAGGCTGTGAACTTTTTACCTGTGTTGTCGTTGTTAGTCGCGCTTGTGTGACCGTTGTTTTTTGTTTTTTTGTTTGTCCTTAATAATTTCTTAATAAACTGGGGAGGATAATCATTAACTATTAGCGCTTCTTTTACGTGTTTCAATTCCTTGTTTAGGTTCTTGCTCTGACTGGTCAGTTTTCTAGCTGTATCACTTAGCCATTTGACTAATCATGCCTTAACTGACATTGAATGGGATGATTTGGAGTCTAAATACCTGTTGGAATGTGTTGATTCTCTGTAGACAGTAGTATCCAAGCCACCGTCTGTTCTTCGTTTTATTCTGCAATCCAACATAGGTAATTCTCCTTGTTTATTTTCTACCTCGTAAGTAAACTGGTTTGCGCCTACTACTGAATTTATATGTATGAGGACGTTGTCGATATGTTCCAATCTCAACACACTAAATGTGTCATCCACATATCGCCACCATATTTTTGGTGCAGGACTAAACGTTTGTAAAGCTATGTTTTCCCAACTATCCTTAAAAATATCTACTACGATTGGGGATATTGGTGATCCCATTGCTACTCCTCCTGTTCGTCTGTATATTTTGTGCTTAAAGTTGAAGACTGTGGAGGTCAGGCATAACTGTATGCCTAATATGATCTCATCAACCGATATCTTAGTTGTGTGAGTAAGTTCTGAGTCAATATTTAGTTGACTTCTGACTGCCTCCAGTGCCATATTGATTGGTATTTTAGTACACAGACTAGTTACATCGAAGCTAACCATTTTTCCATCCTTTTCTATATGTAGGTCATTAAGCCATAGTTTTAACTCGTAATAGTTTACTAGTCTGGAATTTGAACGGTTCCTAATAGGACATAATATCAATGCTAAGGACGTTTGCTGGTTCATATGTTGGGGTCAGTTAGAATAGCCGAACATAGGAATTTAACTAAATATAGAATAACAGACCTAAATAAGATCAATAATCTAGAAAAAAACTCGGCCATTGTTAACACACAACCACACAGTAGAACAGGTGGGATAAAGCCACTGTACTGAGGTCCAATATAATTAGGTGGAGAGAGAGATTGGTTACTGAATCTTTGTTCATCGAATCAACACCCAGCCAACACATGTAATAGAAATGACGCAACACCTATACCAGAGAAATGGAAAATTTTGCTACCAATAAAAGCAAGGAATCTGTGGTGACGCGGCTATAACAAACAAATGTTGAAAGTTATGTGATTCCATTGATATGATTATGAGCAATGATAATTTATATGCTCGAAACACCATCAAGTAAATAATACTGTGTCACTATGTGTCATATAACAAATAAATAAATCTGTTAGGACTGCCTATATCCCTTCTATTTCATGCTTACCGTTCGTATATATTTTAAGTGGGTTACTTCTCACTCTTTTCCCGCTCATGGGTGATATTTCATTTGCCCCGCTATTGTTCTGATTGATTCCTGCCTCTTTAAACGTACTAATTATTCTTTGTGCTTCAAAGTTACTGTAAACTCTACAAATACGGTCCATTTTCATTGATAAACGTTTTCGGTCCTAAATACTATCAACCTGACTAATTTCCAGTCTTTTGATTTCTCTTTGTGAATCACTCAGGTTGAATCCTCTCAACAAGTCGACTATCAATTGTTAAATATTTCAATTCGTTCTCACAACTCTGCATCGTAACAAACTCTTTATGTCTACTGATATATTCTGTTTTACTTGACTGTTTCAATTTTAGCTGTATCCAACCATATGGCATATTCAAGTGTTGGTGGTGGTGGTATTGATAAAACCTTGATTACACCGAATTATATGTTAGATACAAATCTTGGTCTAAGTAAACTTCGTATTACTATACAAATTGAAGGATTGAGATCATCTAATGTATTAGAATTTCATAAGAAAATTATTCCAAAATTTTATAAGAAAGCATTAAATGGTGAAATTGTATTTCATTTAAATCAAGATGGTTTTTTATTTGAATTTTATGGACAAAAATCATTAAAAGATCAAAATTATCGTCTTCATGTTAATAAATTACCCGGTGTATTAGATGATAAACGATCTCAATTAACTATACGTGAAGATGCTGTAGAAATTATCCTAATAAAAATAGATAATAGTTCATGGTCATCTGTTATAACTGAAGGTTTAAATATTATTCAAGATGGTAAAAAATAATTATACTTTTGAATATTGATAAAGTTTTTGATATGTAACATTAACTTTACACTCCTTTAAGGATAATATTTTTTTTAAAAATTTTTATCTGTTATCAATGTTTAGGTAATATGTAAATATGTGTTTCCCTTTTTTAACTTCATTTTTTTTTTGACCTGTTTTCCTCATGAGTTCAAGTGTAGTCTAAAGACGTATATTTGTGCTGTCTCATTTCATTTCTGACAAGTAACTTATCTATTGTTCTTTTCTTACCAGCGATGACAATCAAAATTTACTTACTTATAAACTTATGTTTGATAACTGACTCGATAGTTTATTTTAAACTAATTAGAAACATTATTTATTGACTTCCTTTCGCTTTCTTGCTTGTAATTTATGTGAAAAACTGTTGACCAACTTTTTTTCTTCTGTAGATTGTTTTAATACGTTTGTTTTTTGCAAAACTGTATTGCTTTGTTAGTTGATTGGAGACAATCGGTAGGAATCCCTGGACACGCGTCAACAACCTGAGATTCGAACCCTCGTCACCCAGTATTGTAGTCAGCGACTTTACTACTGAGCTATTCGGGCTGCAATTGACTTCCTGTAGGACTGGGTTACATGTATTGATTAGTCACGGACGGTCTCAGGCGGGACATCAGTTCCGTCGATGTTTCAAATACGCCTTACTGATGACTGCTTCCAACCAACTAACATCTACTAATGTACACCGTGATGCTGAGGATCCTAGCTTGTGGCCACATAGCAAATGTGATCGACAGGATTCTGTCTGCATTGAGGACTAGACAATATGAAATTAGTTCCACTCCCGTGATAAATCAATACTGTAATGCTTTATTTCGGAAAGTTGAGTAGTATTTCTTACCCTTGCTCAATAGATGTGACTCACAACTGACTCAAAGATATGCATGCATATAAGGTTTCTCATAAAATCGCAGTTACCGGAAAAAGGGAAGTCAACATAATTGAGACGAAAAGAAATCCCTTAGTAAAAAGGGGAGAACAGATATAAAAGAAGGTATTTCATTTTCAAAGGAAGGGGTGAAGAATTAGATGCTTCTGACGTCAATAAGCACAAAACTTGAATTCATAGCTTTGTTTCAGCTGTTTCCTTTGTTACGTTAGTACTCATCATGGACTGACATCAGTTGGAAAGCACCGGGCAGCTATTACGTCCTAGAACAGGACTCAGCAGTGTGGATTCTTGACCATACTGGGACTCGAACCCACGACCTTCGTGTTCCTTGGCTTGCGTGTTACCATTGAGCCACTCGGTTGGTATACGACGGTCCATATTTCCTACTTCTGTCAGTTCAAGATGTATCACGACTTCCATCCAATGACGTCGTTGAGTAACTGTCCATGTGTTCGACTTAGTTGACTCCATCGGGCACGACTTCTTATAAGAACCTCGAGAACTACCTCTAGAAGTGAGTTATCAATGACCAGTAGATTAATGGTTGCGGAACCTGAAAGTTCCGGGTTTGATCCCTCGTGAAGCCGTGGGCTCATATTGCTGAGGAGTCCCATACCGGGAGGAAACACCTATCCAGTGCTTTCAGGTTCCCAATGTTTCTCTAACTAATATTAGTCTATAATGAATACCAACCTAAATTCAATAAATAAATCCCTACAAATCTCCTAACTGGATTCCTATTCTACCTGTGTGACAGTTTTTCCTATGTAGCGTGTTAAAACGAGGTCACGGCTAACTATACGCATCGAAGAACAGTTACTGATGTGAGATAGAATGTTTCAGTTAATAATCTAGTAACACTATTTATAAATTATGGGCCTCATGATTTCTTACTACAGACATGTCAAACGAATAGTGGAAATCGATGAGACGCTAAAGGAGGCAATGATAAATTAAGCTTCTTCATTTTTATAGAAATTTACCACTGCAAGCGAAATAAATAAACGAAGTTGGTTATGTCAGTCGTTGCTAGGGTTACTTTGGTTCCATCTACTAGTGTTTTAAAGTTGACCAGGCCATTAACTCATAAGTTGAACTGGCACATGCTCATTGAGAAGCCCGAGGATTTTGAGTGTATTCCTTGGGTTAATAGTGCCACTGGTATTTATGGAATTTTAAATAAGAGCTCCATTTGTTATACTATTAATCACTGCTATGTGGTATGGCCGCTAACAATGCACGGCATTTACGGTGTTTGAACGCGCACAATTTTACATAGTGCTAGCATGCTGTGGGCCTTTTATGATGCGGTGAGTTCAACGTCGATGGTACTGGATGCATCGCATGTACTTCTGCTGCGCTCTGACCGCTGAACTGGACCAAGGTGGTATCTTGACCAAGGCTGGTTAACCGCTGATGCTCTTCTCCAATATCGTTCAATGTCATTTATGGATACTGCTCTAATCTGTTAAACATGCGTGTTTCTATATCGGCGAATTGTGGGGACTGTAGCCAGCGAATAAAGATCAAGAGTTTGAACTGATTTTCTTTAAGTGATCTCAACTTGAAACGTCTACGGGTACGGTTGACTAGCAGTAGGATCCAGGTGGCGTATTTTGTCCTATATGGATATACCTGCATCCTAGTAGATGTTATTTCCACTGAGACTTGAACCTATTAACTATCGCTTCAAACATCAAAGAGTTATCCACTGGGGCACAGGAGCTGCTTTTTAGGGAACAGGTGGTGAAGTTTCTCAGTAAGCTACTTTGCCAAATTCAGTTCATCAAACTGGATCACTTCAAGTTGCAACTTTCTTCTTATAATTCATCGGATATATGTCATTTAAATAAAGAAAATCAAAGTGGATTTCCAAGAAATAATCAGTCTTTATCGGTGACTTAACTTAAGAAGATTTTTTACAAAGAGGTAAAAATCATTTTCTTCCTTATGTTCATAATTTGAAAATGTCATTTCTAGATGATGTTTGTTTAAATAGCAACAATACGACAATCCCTTTTCACTTGATATCACTAAACTAAACTGAATACTTATATAGGTATGTAATTATCAGTTGTTGGTACAATGCATTCTGGTCTGCAGACACGTTGTTATAAGACGACTATCAGAAAAGTGTTTTTAAGTTTGTTGTTGATAATTCACTCAGGCTACCTAAGAGTCTGAAAGGGAAGAATATAAGCTGATGACTCATAGAGAGGGGGAAAAGACAAGTATATCGAGATTGTAAATTACATTGATTAGTCACTGAAAGGCAACCAACTTCATGTCGAGTTCAGGGTTGCAGATACATCTCGCTGACGAGTGCCAATAATCACGAAACTTAGTTTCAAGGATTTCTTCAGATTATCTCTAACCAGCTAGCATTTATCAAACTGTAAAGTGAATGAGTAAGGTTATAATTTCATTGAATAAACACCCACCGTGAATATTTACTGTAATGAATGCACGAAACAGACTAATTTGTGTTATGTAGTTTAGTTGTGTGTTTTTAAAAAAAAATCTTGAATGCACACATTATCTGTTTACTAGCATGATAAACATTTATTGTAACAGTTTTATAATCTATTTGTTTCCATGCCATTGAAATATGAGTATACTTCTTTCAAGATCATGAGTACAACTGATATAAAAATGACTTTTAATGGAATTTAATTCTCAAAAGTTCAGAATAATTGTAATCATAAATGTTTAAAAACTATGAAGGTATTAAATTAGACTTGTTTTTAATGTAAAACTGTTATTTTAATCATATTTAAATATGATTCAATGCGGGTATACCTTCTCTTAACTAATATACTCATGTATGATGAATAAAGTATAATTTAGTAACTCCAGTGATAACTTTGGACTTTTGTTAACATATTCTCACTTCTAATATAGACATTCATGTGTTACTCACTACAAGATGTGTAAAATGACGTAAGAGCAATGAAGAATTTTCATCTGATATTGATGTTCAACCCGTGTATAATTAATTGTTGAAATGGTGAAGAATATTTGTAACGTAGGATGTAGAAATATTTAGACTGATTTGTTCTCTGAGCTAGGATTTCAGTTCTCAAATGTTTCAGTGTCATAATATCCAGTGCATCAGAGTCTAGCGCTATCGTGACGTTAGTCTGACCGTAAAAGGTTGGGTTTACGACGCTTCGGTGCGAGCTGTATGCCTGTGAAACCTGAACTCTCCGAGCTGAGGATATGCAGTGATTCTGTGTGTTCGATCATCGTTTTATCCAATGTAAGTAGTTGTGAGGTACGACAGCGTATGTTTGGGCATGATGGACATCGTCATTCAATGAATGAAGTCATCTGGAAACACCGGCTTCGTTGGTTTGGACACTCCGTTCATTGTTTGCTAACCCCTGGGACTAGATGGGGGAAGGAGAGGGGTGGCGAGTATGTGACGTGGTGCTCTGTGATGAAGGATAATTGTATCGAGTTAGCATCTTTTAGTTCATCCCGATTTTCCAAGTGGGGTCCGAGAGATCACGTAACTCAGTGGCTTGAGACGTTAATAGTTACGACTCAGAATCGAAACCAGTGGTAATCATGCTGTAGTTTTCTTCTACTGCTGAAAACTAGTGAATGTTTTGTTTTGAATATACCCTACCGGATTGCCGTTCTAAACATTCCATTCTTATTAATATTTGTTCTTATCCACTTCCCTTCTTTTTATATCTTCATAATTTTATTATATTATTTCGTGTGGCGCATTTTTTGGTGCATTTTGCTGTATCACGTTTAGCATGACATCAGTGCTCTGAACAACCAAGATCTCACTTCAGTAGACATATGAGCACATGTTCAAATGACCAAAATGGCTTTCAGGTGTTGATGTCGCTACAGTCTGCATAGCAGGCAGCATATGAAGTCCAGCATACTGTCTTGACATAGTATTTAAGTGGATGAAGGTACTGTTACAGTGGTGTTGCCTCTTTTATTCACGTTCTCAAGATGATTTATATTCTCGAGGTTCTACTCATCGCTTCTTACATACCTTTTGGTGTTTACAGATTAAAAGTCAG